ACTTGTATTAACATGATCATATATATACGGACACGTATTATTCATAAACATATAATCACGTTAACGTATACTTACTTACGTATATAACTTTCCGCATAATGCAGTCGCTAAATTTCCATTGCATATCTCCTAACATCTGTCTCATGATTTATCTCAAATGGTTATTGAAAATAATTTTGAACCAATAGACTATCAACTACAAAAATAAAACATTTGTTTATGTTCTAACATCTTTATGAGCACTTGTAATACCTAATAGTGGCGAATATGGCATTTGTGTCAGTTGTGATAGCGCTGTATGTGTAGCATTAGCTACATCCAGTTGATAGCTGAACGATATTATCGATTTTATTGCCATTGATGATAAATCATGAAATAGGAAAGACATTCTTTCAAATTTTCCTTGTACATCGCATTATTTTAAATTTTACGCAATATTATAGAAATAACAGACTTGGCAAAATTGTATAATTCAGAAATGTTGCTAATAACAGTAAAATAACTAATATTAAAAAGTCAATGTAAATTTAACAATAACAGATCTATCATATTACAATAATCTTTAGAAAAATCAATTCTGATAATTGCAACACATAATTAATTCTCTAACATCTCTATTCAATTTGCAATTTTCTAACGTAGTTTATAAAATTTATAGAGATTCTCATCCACCATAAAAATATAGCGTATAACATTTTATATGGCATCTACATGTTAGACGAATAGAGGTAATTAGATTACTTTCAGCTTTATCTCTCCATTCAATATATATTCTTTCAAAAATATCTTTTTTCGTCAGATCTCAAGCGAATTTATATTCCGACTAGCGAAAAATCACATTGTTATTAAATTGGTGCAAGCAGATTGTCGTATTTCCACTACTTCCTTTTTTTAATATACTTTTTTAATAAATAACAAAAATCTTACTTCTTCTATCGAGGTAGAAAGAATATTAAAATTAATAGTGACTATTTTAATTAATAAAAATTAATTATAAAAATTGAGCAATACATAATTTGTTTTTAATTCTCAGCATTTGACAAAAACGATAAACCTTATGCACCAACCTAATAATGTTCAAAAAAACTATGCTACTCGCGAATCACGCCAATTTGACGAATTTTTTTAGTATTTATTATAACGCAGCAGGGCTAATACGCGGAGCTGTATTAACGGGCGACAGAGGACTTCCATGGACCTCCAAATCAAAATCAGAAGTCGAGAGAGAATTTCTCATTACTCTGTTCCATCTATCCGCACTTTCGTTGGCGACTACGTATGTTTGCGCAATTTGCGATTCGACACCACCATTAGTCTCAGATCTTTCGCAAGCCGCTCGCAGTGCTTCTTGATGTATAATAATTTCATTAGTGATGTATGCTTCGCGACGTATCCTGTCGCGTAGTTTAGGACTCATGTCAGGAATGCACCATCGTACGAGGATCATTACAAGTGTCACAAAATTCTGTAAAATATGCAAATAAATTTATTTTTTATAATTATTATGAGTATTGTATATAACTTAACGTCAGTAAAAATAAATTAAAGATGTGAATTAAAATTAGAGATGTGAATTAAAATCCATGTAAAATGTAGATTAATATAAACATTTAAATGGAAGCAAAAAAAAACGTACCTCGAATACGACGATAAAAGCTAATCTAGCTGCTAGTACATGCCAGAACATGATGGTGTAATCATACTTGTAAGGCGATTCGGGTGGTTCTCTGTAATCCGGATAACGACAAATCTCGACCGAGATTGACTGATTTATTACTGGCTGAGGACCATTTGTCAGATCACTAGTATTGAATTTTGATAGAGAATGGTCCAAAAAACCTTCAAGCGAGTGATTATCAGAAATTGTTATGCGATAAACTAGTTTCGGTATAAAGTTCGAAGTAAAAGCTATGATGAATGCCTGAAAAACAAAATCAAAAATATCCTTAATAAAATTAACATAATTATATATAATTTTTTTTATAATAGAATTATTTATCTAAAATTTTTACAAGTGATGTCTTCTTTTAATTATAAACGCTTTAATAAATTTATAGCCAGTTAACTCTACGTTTTTTATGAATTCTTTTATCGATAGTTTTTATCGATAGTTATAAATGTTAAACTTACATTGGTAATAACGGATAATTTAGAAATGGAATCGAGTATGCGGTACCATATGCCTATGTTTCTGACCCGCTGTCCAACTGGTCGCCTGTACATAGTCACCAACTTCTTTGCATCCAATCTCATCTCGAAAATGTTATTCAGTAATGCAAAGAATGGCGCCAGTGGGAAAGCAGCCACAAAGATCGTGACAAATCCGTATTGCAGCACTACAGAAAAATAAATTATAATTTTTAAAACAAAATGTTTAGCCAAATTTTATTATATGCTTGTACAATATTATATGTTGTTTTGTGTTTGGCTGTTATTATATATTAATATAAAATGTAATATATTACTTTTTGCAATCTTACCCATTTCTAAGTATTCGGGAAAAAGACTTCTAGGTCCCCACTGAACTAATTTGTAATCTCTAACCCATTGTAAATATTTTCTAGATGAATATCTGTTATTATCATCTTGTTGTAACTTTTTTGCGCCCACGTGAACTTTCAAAGTGTTCATCCATTTGTAAAACAATGGAAAGAGCATTTCCAAAATAGTATTCATGGCTTGCTTGCCAATCATGATAATGCTGAGCTGAATACATAGTTCCAAAAGGCAACCACCTGGTCCACATTCCTCTTGCCGAAAGTTGAAGAACCGATTATAATTTCCTGGATAGCCAATAAATTTTCCCTTGAAAAATGCTATGTAAAATATGGAAGCGTAGTAATTTACAAATTCCAATAGGTAAATTTTTAGAGTTAAGCTGTCGTCAAACTCAGTTTGAGTGCGAAGTAGTTCAATCTGGAAACAGTAACATCCAGTTTTATTAATTAAATAGCAAACGGAATATCTTCAAATCCTTTCCCCTCCCCAAATTTATTTAAATCATTTATTCTTTTTCTATTATTTCATAAAACTTCGATTAAACGATAATTATTATCTTTTGACAGTTATTGATCAATATGACTTAAAATATGTATATTTAATCAAAATTATAAAATATTTTAATGCAATATGCAAATTAATAAATAATCGTTACAGAATATATTTCTCAGTATTGTTTCTTAAATGTACAAATTTTTCTTATATGTGAAATTACCTCTGTCAAATATTCCGCCAGCCAAACATAGAGCCAATTGAACAAAACGATACAACAGAGATTAATGCTCGCTGCAGTTGCAGTAGTGAATAATATAGCATAGCTGTTTACCATTGGATGCCCATAAAAACTTAATACAGTTAGCACAGACATTCTGTACAGAACCACTCCGAGTACAGCAGCCATGGCTACAGTTATCTGTAAAATTATAGCATATAAAATAACATTAATAAAGTATAAAGTTTTTTTTTATATTTTTAAGAATAAGTCTTAATGATTATTAGTATGATAATATTAATAGAATAACTTGACATACCAGAAGCAAAACAACTGAGAAGCTGAAAATCGTGGCAGGCAATTTCATCTTCCAGTATGGTACTTTTGGCTCTTCCGTGTTTGTAATGATATTAACAGACTTCTTTTTAATATGTGCAAGCCTTGCTAAGTACTGTGGCCTAGGATATTCTTCTTGAGCATCTAAACCAGTCAAATCCCACCTGTGAGTTATCTCGGCTGAATATTTCTTCCATAATTCAAGGAACAATGTAGCTGTAAAAATAATGATAATATATCACATAAGATTATAAATGTCACACAAGCATTTCGTCATAATTTTTTAAATACTTTTTATATGCAATTACAAATATAAAATAAATTATTAACAAGCTACTATCAATCATTTTGCATACCCCATAATGACATAAATACAGAGAATGCCACCGTTGAGGAATTGTCAAACAAATATGTAATTCTTGAGTGTAAACATGTCTCATTGAGATTCCAATATCCACAAAAATGATCACATAACGGACACATTTTGATAGTATTGTTGCCATTACAAATATCTTCACTTAGATCATTGTAATACAAAGTAGCGCAACTATATATGAAACATAGAAGACCGACGATACTGGCTGGGATCAGCATATGAGTGTAGAATCCCAGCCAGGCAAAATAAAGTCCGATCTTCACTCCAAAATACTCTTTAATATAATCCAACGGCTGATAATGAAGGCATTTCCTCAAACTGGCCCACTCAGTGTATAAAAGATATCGCATTGAGCCTGCAGTATGTAGGTTTCCCTATACAAAACATAAATAGCATATTTAAATATACCAAGTGAATCATCTTATGTGCTTCATGACTTAAAATAACTTTTAAAATGTTTAAAATTTACAAATAAGAATGATTAAATGTTTATTGTGTGATGATTGATTACTTTAATAGTTATTAAAAAATATTTAATTGTTGTAAAAATCTTGACAAAATTTGTTGAAATCTTGAAAGTCTTCGAGTCTTTTTTGCTAACAATGTCGAGATTTAAAATCGAAATTGATATTATTTTCAATATAATATCCTTCATGGGTGCAGCAATACGATTTTATATTGTCATACCTAAACACAGTATGCATTCATGCATCAATATATCAATTATGATCAATCAGAGTAAGCGTATAGTACACCATACAAACATGACAATGCACTATTTTTCAGTAACAGTTAGTCGTTTCAATGATTCTATTATACCTATTAAGTAGATAATTATTTTTAACAATTTTATAATAAAGTTGTTAATTTTATTATTGAAAAATGCTATATTAATGACATGCTATTGATTAAAATGTTATATTATTTACATGAATATCACAATTACTTTGATTAAGAGAAACTTTTATTAAAATAAAAATATAACTTACATCATGAAGCGGGTATGCTGCGACATATGCGCGTTCGGATATTAATCTTTCGACACCGAATGCAAAATCATCTTCCTTGGCTTCCGTGAATCTAGTTCTGTCTAATATAAACTGCACAACACGCGAGCGTGTTGCCGATGTGAAAAAATTGGGTGAATCCAAGTCGAATAAGTACTCTTTGTCTCTACTATACACCGCTGTGAAGTTGAGCTTCATCGTTGGAAAGATTGTCGTGTCAACGTAATATTTGCTCATAATTCGTCGAACAAACGTATTGACTTCTTTTATAATAACATTGCCACTTGTCTCAGGCATTTGACAACCGGGCAGTTCTTTCATTGGCAGTCTGAGCTTCAATATTTCGGCGTATCGTCGCAAAACTTCCTTGGGCGCGTGAATTTTTATAAAATGTAAGCCGCTTGGTTCCGCTTGTTCGTACTCCAATTCCAGTCCTTGATTTTCCAAAGTTTTCTCAAATATCTGAAGTGTTGCATGTTTTATTGATATTATTACTGATATGTATGCCATTTAGATAATAATTTCAATTTACCCTTCTACGTTCAACACTGCGATTAGTTTGTGCTTCTCCATTGTATTCATCCCACACAAGTATAAAATCAACTGTGCGAATTTCGTCACAAAAATATAAACTGTACTTTGTACCGGAGTGAGAAAGCTGAAATAGAAAATGATACATTAGTATCCTCTAGAAAGACCAGCAATCAACTTAACATAATTTGGAAAGCATCTATTTATCAAGTTATCAATATTAAATTAATTAGCAATTCATTAATATTAAATTCAAGTCAGATATTGTTCAGCAATCAAAAATTTGTGATGCTGCAATTATATGTCATGTAATGATCAATTGTGAGAGAGAGATACAGCAGTTGGCATCTTAAATTTAGATTTTAGAATGCAAAGAAATTGATTTTTACCAATCTTGAGTTTTGTACGCTGTTCCTTGTGCCTGTGTAACTACAATTAGTATCTACAATTGTTTCGTTTGTATCATTATTTAAAGTGGACGAGTTATCCGTGTACGTTGGTTGAAAATTATCCATAGAGACTGCACTGCACATACTGCTCATACTTATAGCGTCTTCATACAAGGTGTTTCGGACACTGTGATATAACGTCTGTTCTGAGTCTTGATTTATACTGTTTTGCACCGAATGATATAAATTTGTTCCAGGAATACTTTTTCGTCGTTGCATGCATGTAAGAGAAACCTTTTCGTCATCCTCTTCCATTTCTCAAGTAATTTCAAATCCTATGTTTTTTAAAGCAAACATATACATCATGCAAAGCCAAAAATCAATAAAATTCAAATGCATTACTGAAAAGAATAGCTAATGTTCTCCGTTGCTTTTTTTCTTTATATAATGAAGCTAATGACACATAACCATGATTCAAATAAATCATAAAAGAATTCACGACCAGCAAGCTTCTCATATTTTTATAAGTCTGTGGACACATGATTTCCATTTTTCTCAAATATATATAGATCCGAGATAATGTAGAAATGACTTGATCGATTAAAAATAATTTACAGAACATGCTTTTCCTCCTACTGGTCGAAAACTAACCAAAACGCGACATGCTTGCAAGATTATACTCGCCTCGGTAAAATGCGACCGCACAAGTCTGCTGAGTAGCCAATTTTCAAAACTGTGCTTTTGCTTTGATTATCAATTATTTTATCGCAAAATGCGTATTTTTACCTGATATTGTTCCCAAATTCATTTACCAAAAGGAATGAGAAATGACGAATATCGTTCAAAAGCTGCAGTCGAGTTATAAAAAATATGATTGCGCCATAATTATAAGAAAACACGCAAGGCGGATTTTGTGATTAGCACCTTTGCTATCTGACTCGCACTTTGATCGACATTCACGTACCATGTCATATTCCAGATGATGCGGAACGTGACGGAACAATATTCGTACGTCACATGTGATTTGATGTGACTGGTCCTCGCTGCTGCTCAGTCAGTGTCGCCAGATTTAAGACGCAAGTAGCAAGCAGTATAAGAGAAAGAATACCACCGCACCATGCGCAAGGCTAATTTCGAACACTAGAAAAGAGCAGACATACTTTTTCTATCTCCTTTCTTACGCTCCGTTTTAGCCGGAATTTTAAATAATTAACAGGAACACATGATGATATATGAGCTCACTAGAAGCAGTGCATTCGGTACTCATCAAAATTTCTGAAAATTCGAAAAATTTATTACATAAAAAATTAATATATATCTTTCTTAATTAATTGATTATGAATATGCATACATTCTGCACAATACAAAAATATGTAATGTCGGAAATGAATTTCCGCTGATAGCACGCGTTATCATAAGAGGAAATATGTGTGTTCGTGACTAATTTTTTCACTGATAAATTAGAAATTTATTTAAAATGTATATACAGTATTCCACTTTTATTGCATTACTTTTCAGTTAATACTAGCGTAAATCATAAAATATTTTTTGTTACTTAGTTCAATAAAATACATTATTTTGTTGAAGGGAAGATATAAATTCAATTTTGTGCAACCATGAGATACATGTCTTATTTACAAAGTATACTAATTATTCTATATATACGATTACAATTGCAATGTATATAATAAAATAATTATTTTTATTTAACAATATGATTTATAGAAATAGATATTATTTCAATTAATATATATATATATATTATTTTTTAGGTAACATATTTTTTAGATTATTATAAAATATTGTAAGATAGTAATACATATATACAGTACATACAGTATTATATATACTATATGTAATATATATATTTAATTTTCGTATATGAAAGTGAGCTTTACTACCAAAATATGTATAAATTAAATAAAGCCAATTATTTAAATTATGAATATTTGAGAAGATTTAAAGATTACTTTCTTTTTTTAATGGAAAATCAATTTTTTTGTAATCATACTTCTTGCATAACTAATGCATTGAGTTCTGCCTCTCCTGGACACAGTATTGCATCGATATTATAAAAGGCAGCATGAAGAGTTATTAAAAACCAAGAGACTCCTGAAAAAAAAGTAACATGGTTGTGTGCTGTTTTCTATATTGTGTTCAGAAATATGTTTTAAGAATGTATTTTTTTTTTACATACCAAGTACCCAAAATACAGCTGCATGTGCACCAACCAGATAAAATATGGGCAATGAACAAATTCCAACTAAGGAATATACTTGCGCTAAGGTCAGTTTATGACTTAATACCATTAATTCTTGCTTAGAATGTCGCTGAGAGAGTTTATAACATATTCCAAGAGAAGCAATAACCGTCAACAATAACAGAGGTGAGGTAATCCTGAAAAATGATACATTTTATCATATACATTACATTAATATTAAAATTAATTAATATTAGAATCTATAAGTTAATTATTTTTATGCTTACGCATTTCATATTAAAAGAAAACAAGATTAGTAAGATGTGATTAAAAAATGTCTTACAAACAATATATTACTAATCCGATAAATACAAATAGATAATTGCTCTGGAAATATTCAATATTCTTCACAACTCGTTTACTCAATCTTGTTATATTAGGCGGTGGTCTAATGTTGCTTGTGTTAAGAAATAGCGACCATGGTCGAACATTGGCTTTTCTGTGTTCAATCCAGTGTTGAGCTTGAGGATAGCCTATTTGTCCAAGCGGTAGCTGAGGAAGCTGAAGAAATTCAAATCTGCAAATTAATACAAATAAAATAAAGTAAAATAAAACGAAAGAATGTGGCATGTAAACATAATATGTAGATTAAACAAGAAATACTGCATTCAACTTTCCCTATGCTTTTAGCAACTTACTCAATACTAAAATTTCTTTTGTAAAATATAGTAAATACTTGTAGTATATTGCAAGTTAATCACGTTAGAATTAAGATTCACAAGAAATAAATAATTAAACAATAATGATTTTCTGTATTAAAAAACGTTATGTCAATATTGTGTTGTTTGCTTATAGGTTAGTTGAACCTTAATCAAATCTTAAGAAAGTGAGTGTTCAAACGTTACCCATTCGTGGCTTTCTGCTTTTCTGACGGGATCTGCATATCCCCCATCGGAATCTCCACGTCTGTCATGGTTTTTTTTTAATGCTTATTATTCACTTAAAAACTTTCTTCGTCCAAAATTTGACGTGACACCTCTTGCTATTTTTAAGACAATCTACTTTCTTATTTCCTCATTCTGAATCTGTTATTTGCACTTTCTACACCTTATATCTTTTCACCTCCTCTCTACAAACCGTATGTACAATAGTGCAATAGAATGAACGTACTTGCGGAATAAATAGCGTTATATAGGGTGTCCTTTAATAACATACAATGGATAGAAATATTTTCCATCTAATCAAGATAACGAGATATCCGCGTGTACAAAAGAATAATTATTTCAGCAAGCTTCGTTGGAGCTTTTAATACTCACCAGACAGGCTTCTTTCGAATCTATTATCTGCAAATGTCCATCCGAATCATCCGTGCACGTGTCTTTCAATCGTTCTTGAAATCACCACCGCGGATCATACTTGGCGATATTCCATTGGCGATCAAAGTTTGATCACACGACGAATTATCCAGAATATCGATACATCCACTGCAACTTGTCGCTCATTATTTTCAATGTATTTCCAACTGATTCACACTCGTGAAGACGCGCTCTCGTGCGCTGATACATCGCGAAGGCATTGAAAGTGACGGTCTCCTGTAATTCAAAGAGCACGAGATCAGCGTACATAGCAGGTGGTTTGTACGAAGGGGAGTTTATAAAAGGGCCGTATCGCTCTTCTAATCGACTGTTATACCCGTCCTTCGGTCCCTCAAATTGTGCATCCCAAGACGCTGTGTTTGGTCTTGTGACGATCGCAACACGACAATGCACTCCCAGTAGAGCGATGATGCCTCCAGCAGATTCGCCACGCATTATTTCGCATTTTGACAATTTGCGAACGTAAACCAGCTAGCAGCGTCATTTCGATCGCGTTTCAAATGTCCTCCGTGCATTCAGTTCACTACACTTTATACTCGACGTCGTTTCCAATCGTTTGCATCAATTTAAGCCGAACTTCGCCCACCTTTTCGAAGAATTTATATTTTTAATTATCAGACTGTACGCAGGTGTATAAAAATTTGTTTCTGTGCAACCTGTTGACTTTGCGTACTCGACGATAGTACAATTTGCATTTCGATACATTTAATACAATGGCACACACACACATAATCAATTTAAAGTTGGAATTTTGTGCTTTAAAGATACATTTTGTATTCAAAGAGTTCACGCTGAGAAAAACAACTAGTCAAACCAGTCTTTAAATATGCATGACATATATATACAAAGAACACTATTGACCTGGTAGACTTTATTCGGATACCTGATGCTCACGCGCTTTAAATAAATTTCACTTGAAACTTTAAAGAGAAAGCGCTAATAACTCGCAATTTATGTGTGCATGCGCGTGTGTGTTTTATTTTTAAACAATCGTGCATTGCTTAAAAATAAAAGACAAAGCAAATGATAGTTTACATCTTATATTGCATTTTCATTCCTGCTAGATGAAGACAAATCGACAAAGGAACAATAGCTGCGCAGGGTGCTTCCGCAAGCTGTGTCATCCCTACCTGCACGGCTGCATTCACCATAAGGCGCATTAGGCGCAAGCTGGGGCCTCATTTTAAAATATTACTTCTCAAATGGCAAAATTAAAAACATCCCAGTTATAATAGCAAAATAAAATACTTACTTTTAAATATTAATTTCATAATATAAAAAATAAAATTAGAGGCCGCTGAAAAATTTGTAAGCGGTAATCGTTTATTACATTTCGCCTGTTTGCATCATGTAATGTATGTCGACTTTTATTTTGAATAAAAGCTTAAAAAAAATGCATATGAATTTGATTAACTAAAATAGACTTGTTCTTTTGAGGCCTCATAATGATGTTGCGCCGTGGGCCTCCAAAAGTATAAATGTGGCCCTGCCTGCCTGTGACCTCGAGTTTTCGTGAGCTAGCCCATTACAGGTTGCAGCTGTTCAATGAAAATTCTTCCGCGTCTCCTTACATCTTTCTTCGTAAAAATATTTATCAACGAAAGGGAAATCAGGAATTTCTCAGCAACACAGCATGATTCACTGTTTCTTTACCTGAATATAACCGATTTCATTATCTTTCAACTGTCAAATTTGTACATTCCACAGTTCCAGGTTTTCGTTTGCTTAGAAATGAGCGTAGAGATGAAATACACAGTCGACGGCAGATGTCCGGCCGTATTAAACAGCTGCTGAAATCTTGCACAGCATATCAGCAGTCGAGGATTAATTCGACCAACAAACGCTATTCCGCTCGTTTCTCTATTGCGCTGTGAATAAATCGTATTCAATGAATTTAAAGATATTATTTGTTTTAGACTGCTGTCCAATTTGCATTATCAGCGACAAATTAATAAGAAATTTTGCAGTAGTCGAGAAATTTATATTTCGATAATAATTCATATCTCAATGGATCTGAGATTTTGTTCATAAAATATTCTATGTGTCTCTTCCTCTCTTTTTCTATTTTTTATACATTTTCTAGACAATATTGCGTGTTAAAATTACGCATATCAATATTTACCAAGGTTTTACGTTTTTATAAATGATTTAAAATTCGTAATTCGAATTTAAAAAATTGAAACGAGACTTTGAACGCCATTTCGGTTGTCGTCGCATATTCGAGAAACAAATGAATAACTGTTCGAAGTATAGTTTCATTCGCGCATATCTGAAATTAATTGATCCTGGTGTTAAAACAATAGTCAAAAGGAAAAACGGTGATGTCTCTTTGTCGTTGTCAGACTCGTCAGAATCTTTGGAAAACCGTGCGTATTTTTCCCGACAAGCAGCCCGAAGCAGCCGGCATAATGTAGAGCAGATGATGGCACTGTGCGCATGCATTGTGAGCGAGTTGCAGCCAATGGGCGCGCGCGTTACACGACCGGCTGTTGCGAAAAGCTCTGCAAGCCGCACGCGGATTGGCCGATCGGCCAGGCTGCGGGTCGCGTTGCACCAGCGAGCATAACGAACGTGAGCGTGGAGTGCAAAGGAGGATTTGAATGAACGTGGTCGCGAGCGTGGATACGTCGTAACCCCGCTTTC